TTTTTTTTTACAGATTCACCGCACAACCTTTAGTGAAAACAATTTTTGACCAAGGTTTCGCTACATGTTTTGCTTACGGACAGACAGGCTCAGGGAAAACGCATACAATGGGTGGCGATTTTACGGGTAAAAATCAGGTAAGATCTCTGCGGCTATTACTTTCAATAATAAGGCATCTCTTATTTGTTGTTTCATAGAATTGTGCCAGCGGCATCTACGCTTTGACCGCGAGTGACGTTTTCAAAATGCAACACTCACAACAATATAAAAAGTTGAATTTGGTAGTTAGCTGCAGCTTCTTTGAGATATATGGTGGAAAGGTGTGTTTTGTTTGCTTGTTCTTCCAAGAGAGTTCCACGTTTTCCGTAGTTTAATTTCAGGTATTTGATCTACTAAAAGAAAAAGCTTTATTACGAGTGCTTGAGGATGGCAAGAAAGAAGTTCAAGTTGTTGGGCTGGAAGAAGTACCTGTGAACTGTGAGAACGATGTCAGTTTCCTATATTTGATTCAGCGAAAAAATATTATCAGTGACTGAGTCTTTCTTTCATCAATAAAAAATCATCCAGATTTCATGCTCAAAACTGCCCTTTCGATCACAATTCGGTGTCAAAAATCAGAAATCGTTTTCATATCTGTTAGTTTCTCTTTGTCGGAGTCCTGTTAATAATAAAAGTTTCCGCGATTACCATAGCCAACAATGCGATTACATCTTTCTAAAAAACTCTTGACGCTAACTTTCAAAATGTGCTTTTAGGTGCTCGATTTAATCCGACAAGGTACAGATATGCGCACGGCAGGTGCAACATCTGCTAACTCCAATTCCAGCAGATCCCATGCAGTTTTTCAAATAGTTTTAAGGAGGTGCGCTCTAAAAGCCGTCACTAATGCTCTTATCTAATCTCTACAGAAACAACAAATTGTGGGGAAAATTCTCGCTAATAGATTTGGCTGGTAATGAACGCGGTCAAGATACCGGGAATTCCGATAGGCAAACTCGCATGGAAGGAGCAGAAATCAATAAATCGCTTCTTGCTCTTAAGGTTAGCTAATATTGCATTATAATTCGTTGGCCACTGCATGATTTTTTGAAGTAGCACTTCTACTTTTTTTTGTAAAGGGCACTGTTTCAGGAATGTATAAGAGCGATGGCGAAGAATAGTCAACATGTGCCTTTTCGAACATCCAAGCTTACTCTTGTTTTACGTGATTCCTTCATTGGAGAAAAAGCGCGCACTTGTATGGTGAGTGTTTTTATCGAAAACTGGTTATTGAGTCAATATTCCTCTTTCAAAACGCATCATGGATCTGCCTCGGCCAAAAAAAAAAAATTATTTTACATTGTAGGTTTTTCTGACAAGTACAGGTTACGGCTATTTATTTTACTCTAATCTGAATTTACCATACAGTCCTCGTACTAGCTGTCAAATATGTCGCCTGTAATTGTCTTTCTCTTCCTTCTCTCCTTTTTTCTTTCTTCCTGCGTAACCCAATTTAGTTGTTGTATCTCTCGTCATAC